TAAGGCCAAAGGGTGGACACAGAACAACCAACTAACGACAAAAACCACGGACTAATACACTGACCCACGACGGACCAAAGAACGACTTTTACCTTCTCCCAACCCTTCCTACTCCCTATCCACTCCTTTCCCTAATCCCTTCCCCCTCCCTTTCCCCTACTACCAAAAACCCCTCATATAAAACTACCCTACAGTTCTCTCCTCCCGACTCCCATCCCCGTCCCTGTACGGGGGAGAGGAGTCGCAACTTAAGAACAACCCACGGAAGAAAACAAAAGCTGGACGAAGAGAGTCTCGCAAGAGGACAGGCGTGCTAACTAAACACCTTAAAGATCACTCACTCACCAACAAGATGTGCAGTGCAATACTCTCCATGTATTATTTGTCATCCTTTTTTTTCCCTATTCTTCTTCTATTCATTTTTTTATAGTCCTCCCTTGAGACATGCCAAACTGTCAGTATTTTTCTGCTTTTGATAAGAGAGATGAATGACAATCTGTTGATGTTGTATTCTCTTCTTGCAGAATCTGATATTTCCAATAGTTTTTATATATAATAGAAAAAAAAAAGAGTGCAAATTACATTAAATTAATGTACTCATTTTCATTAGTGTTGTTTTATGAATTGATTTTATTGATAAATATATTGTTCACATAAATGTAATTGTGTTCTATTTTTGTAGGAGATGTCCATAGTGTATTGGCATCTGAACAACAAGTTGCCAGTTAATGGTACAATTGAACTGGCGATTGCAAGAAGCAGAAAAAGTAGAAGCACGTCTTGATGCATATGATGAAGTGTTATGTTCACATACGTATACATGGAAAAAAATGGAAGAAAAAAACCTGCTCATGGAGGTTGCATGCGTAACAACAAAAACTTCTTGATGAACTCGATCAAGTTATAGTAAGTAAAATGATGTTATTATTGAAACCTTGTTGTGGAAGATAAACTCAACCCAAATGATTGTAACTTTCTTGACGGAAAGAAAACAAAAGCTGGACGAAGAGTCTCGCAAGAGACAGGCGTGCCATAACTAAACCTCTAATATCACTCACTCACTCACCAACAAGATGTGCAGTGCAATACATCTCCATGTATTATTTGTCATCCTTTTTTTCCCTATTCTTCTTCTATTCATTTTTTTATAGTCCTCCCCTTGAGACATGCCAACTGGTCAGTATTTTTCTGCTTTTGATAAGAGAGATGAATGACAATCTGTATGATGTTGTATTCTCCTCTTGCAGAATCTGATATTTCCAATAGTTTTTAGTATATAATAGAACAAAAAAAGAGTGCAAATTACATTAAATGAATGTACTCATTTTCATTAGTGTTGTTTATGAATTGATTTATTGAATGAAAATATTGTTCACATAAATGTAATTGTGTTCTATTTTTGTAGGAGAATGTCCATAGTGTATTGGCATCTGAACAACAAGTTGCCCAGTTAATGGTACAAATTGAAGCTGCGATTGCAGAAGCAGAAAAAGTAGAAGCACGTCTTGATGCATATGATGAAGTGTTATGTCACATACGTGATACCATGGAAAAAATGGAAGAAAAAAACCTGCTCATGGAGGTTGCATGCCGTAACAACCAAAAACTTCTTGATGAACTCGATCAAGTTATAGTAAGTAAAATGATGTTATTATTGAAACCTTGTTGTGGAAGATAAACTTCAACCCAAATGATTGTACTTTCTTGTAGAAAGAAAAAGAAATTGTGGTAGAATCTCCTGTTCAGTTCCATTATCTAATATATATGACCACTATAAATTGTGTTGAGGCTTGACAACTGAAGCATAATTTCCATTTAAATTATTTTGCACTTATAGGTTTTTCACACTTATACGTTGTTTTGTAAGTCCAGGATACATTCCAATACTTCCCATGCTAAATTATTTGAGATATGTGTGTACTTGTTTTCTGTTATTGTACCTTTTGGAGTTGTGGATAATTAACAATTTTTTGAAAAATTTCTTCAGAAGACCGGGGGGTGAATCAATCAGTATCAAAATTTACCCCAGTTGTCTCTGTCAGAAGACAATTGGAGCATATTTAAAGGATAAAATTTGCCAGAATAATAATAATAATAATAATAATAATAATAATAATAATAATTAACAATTAACATTTATGGAATGGCTCCTCTATAAACTCCCTTCCTCAGAATTTCCCATAATTTCAAGGGGTGCCTATGCATTGAGCAAGGTGTAAGCACTTGGAAATCGCTCTTGTGGCATTGGTCCCAATTTATTTCTGTGGAGAACTGTCTGGTTCTTGTTCAAACTTGAATGCTCTTTTCGATTTATGCATAAATGCACATAAATTCATTACGTTATTTGTGCATAAATTGCATTGATTTTAATATTAAAATAATATGTGTCAACATGAATAATGCATATATATCTCCAAAAAATCATTAAAATTTAGAAGCATGCATGAAAAAAGTATACATTTTGTAAATGAGAATGTCATAAATCACATATTTACCAAGTTTGAGGGCCCTAGTGAGGTTACATAAAAGCCAGCATTTGCATGGAAATTTTAAATATTATATTTATGCCTTTATTGTAGTTACCACTTTCAGTGACTTAATACTTGGGATTAATACTTTCAGTCCCAGTTGGATCTTCCCCATAAACATCAAATGGCTTTAATTGATGCAGACCTTACTAGTGCTCAGGGACTGCAAAGTGCTATTGCAGCAGGAAAAGCATTGATGGCAGCTATGAATGCTGAAATACATCCTGCACTTGTAAGACTTGCAGCTGTTCAAGAACAGAGAAAGCGCTTTGAAAAATGGAAAACCAAATTTTCTCAGACAATATCTCGACATCTCAACAATCTTTTCATACACTTGGTTAGTATTCTTTGCATCTTAATATGTAATTTAAGAGATTTAATTGTAGCTTTCTTTTTTGTCTAATTTCTTTCTTTTAAAGACAATAATGTTTTTTAATAGAACAATATAACTTGGTCAATGAAAAATATTTGGTAAAAAAACAACAACACTGGTTTAATAAATACTGGTCTAAAATACCGAAATAAAACATTAAATGTACTACTTCTCCCCCATACATCACATACAGTTTTTTTTTTTGTTTTTTTTTTAATATATTGTATGATGAAATAAATCAAATCAAGTATTTAAATGAACCTTTTGATTATCTGTTAATTTCATTCAAGTTTGTTGGAGAAGTGTTAATTTGTCAAAATATAACATTTTAAATCAAGAATCAAGGTTCATTTTACTTTTTTTAGTCATATTTAAGAAATCTTTAATTTGCAGATATTATTTTAAAATTATTGCAAAATATTGCAAATCTGGAATTTTCAGAGGGATTTATTCATTTTTAACTCCTTTTTCATTCTGTTATGTTTATTTATGAAGAATATATTTTCTTTAAGGGTAATGATGCTGGGGAAACACTGAGTTTCCATGCTCGCGATTTGACTCTACCAAAACATAATTCCATTCATACAGAATTGAAAGCTTACACTCCTCTGATGCATTGGTGCAAAGCAATGGACAGGAAAGCATATATAGCACTGTCCCGAGTGTACACAAATTCATTAAGTAAACTTTATGAACGTGATATCAAACAGTTCTTTGAAGAAGCAAAACAACAAATATCAGGTTCACGTGAAAAGAAAGGTATGACACCTGGAATATTTCATTCTTTTTAAATAGTTTCTATATCATTTTTAAGAAATTAACTTATTTTAGTTATTTATTATGATTATGTATTAATAATAACACAATTTGAAAAATTCACATTTAAAAGAGTAGTTTTGTCTTTAATATGACTACTAGTTTTTAGAAATTTTAAGTCTCAAATTTGTACATAATATTAAAATTAGTGCATTGTGATTCCAGAAAAACATTAAGGCATTGTGGACCTAGCCCAACAGGTCTTATACTTACTGCAGAGGATGTACGAGCAGACCAACTTACATTTATTCATGCATTTCAATCCTTACAATGTGGGACATATATTTTAACTAGTGGGAGTGTTCCAGTGCAATTGTAGTGTATTCATAGTTTGTTTGTTTTGCAAGATTGATGTTGTTACTTTGAGTATGCTGTTTGCATGTTCAAAATTAGCTCCAGTAGTCATGACAGTGGTGCCATCTGTGAATGTGAAACATGTGAACAAGTTATGTCATCTTTTCTCTTCACAGTGATACAAAAGTGAGATTTGTGGGTCGTATGGTTGCAAAGATTCCAATGAAAGTTTTCTAAAATTTTTTTACTTATGTGGTTTTAGGAAACAATGCTCTTCTAAACAGAAGTATGGTCATTTTTCCTTGGTAGGCTCCAAAGCAGATAAACTTATTTAACACTCTCTTGTCATCATTAACAAAGATACGTTATTCGCTCTTTTACCTGGTGGATACTAGAAGAATGTGAGTCAATGGACACTGAATTATGCTATGTTTCTATAACTTAAAGGAGAAAAAAATTGTTCTTCAGAAATTCGTGCTAATACATTAAAGAAAACAATGTTAATATATAATGTATTCTAGCATATTTGCATCAGGAATATGACAAAATTCAGCTCTATGTGACATAAATGAGTGTACTTGAGTTAAATAACATTTTTACAGTAATTCCAGAAATGTTGGAGATTCGAAAAATCTGTTGCTTTAAATAGATGCAAAAGTTAAAAAACTCCCCTTAAATTTTCTAGTAGGTCAGCTTGATTTTTCCAACTTTCTTTGAAGCATAGACATCAATAACTATCCAAAAATGTTGATCGTGTAGAATTCATTTTAAGGCTCGCTATTTCAATGGCAAGTGTGGAAGGATTGAAAAGTCTTTCATTATTCACTGACTTTCTTAAGTATGTCTTCACCCAGTTTAGAGTGCTCATACTTCTTTCACACGAAGCTTTAGTTGCTGGTGTACTTAATATCAGGGAGAGTAATTTAAGTCTAATAAAGTTATTTAAGAGACATTTAAACAAATATTTAGTTGCCAATTGTTAATCCTGGTTCCCAGAAATGAACATTGAATGAGCTCTCCTTTCAATTTCTCTGAATCAAGGCAAGGAAAAACAGCACATAGTGCATCAATCTTGGATGCCAGAAAATGTGAAAGTTGGTTGTAATGTTCAAATTGAGTTTCATCCAGGAGTTTAAAAAATTCTATATTCAGGAGTACAGGTTTATTATAATTACTGATTGATTTATTTTGCTCTCTTTTGTCCATGTCTCTCACCACCATGTCATTAAGTGATACATTAAATTAAGCAGGTGCTGATCCATGGGGTGAGAAATTTCTCCCCCTAAAATTTTTCTGTATCATTTAATTTTGACTTGTCATGAAACTTTCAAGAAAAAATATTTTCAGATAATCATTAAAAGAAATAAAATCGTATCATAGAATGTGCTGAGTTTAGCCTTCGACATTTTACAAAATCTGTAATGACACATTCGACCAAAACATTTTTAATTTCCCTTCCCAAAATTTGTCTCTGGATATGACCCTGCATTAAATTTTATTATTAACAATATAGTATTTATTGTGGTCTATAAGCAAACGACTAAGAATCCATTTTCCACACAATCTAGAGGACATTTCTCTCCAAAAGTGTGACTTGAACGAATTGCTTGTGAACAGCACCAAACACCTCTTTCAGCGCCTGTGAGGATGGTCATTCTGATTAGCTGGGCTTACTTATGGGGAGGGGGGAATGGCATGAGAGAGCCCACCACAGGCCCCGACTGCTCACAAGGAGTACCGAAAGGCCTCCTGTGGCTAGCCTTCGGGCCTACCAAGCAGCCCATATTCACAGAATATCTGCATCTCATGGGCACACATAGTGTGCATGTGTTGGAGGCTCTGAAAGACCAGAGGCTTCGTTCTCACTCTGCCGTGAGTTCGCAATTGAGCAAGAACTTCTGTATGACAAGATGCCATATCTACAAAGCTAGACAAATCATGTAATTGCTCGTTCGAAAATTATCAATAAATACATTAAAAAGTGATGGCATTTTTTAAATAGAAAAAAGTTTTTGCTTTTCATAAAGTACTTGGTTAGGCTCTGTCTTGCTGCCTAATAGGAAGCTATGCCAAAGTCCCATGTGAATAGGGGGGATGAAGTTTTGCATCTACTTCAATCTCTTCACCCTACTATTCCTTGTGGGTGCAAGGTGCCTTAGCAAAGAAACAGAAATGTTTGCAAAAATTACATGTTTGAAAGTATTATAACACAGTTGCTGCTATGCCTGCCACTATGCCTCCCACTACCACTGCCATTTCCACCTTTTCACTGTGTAGAGCTACTATTTGTTAGGCCAAACATGAGTGAGTTGTCTCAAACATGACCATTCCCACTCAGATTGACAAATGCGCTACTGACTAATATACTAGTTCTTTTACTCCATTTCTGTCTTAGATATCTTCTGTTGCTTGCTCATGTTTTGCATTAAATATTTTGTAGGCAAAGGTAGTGGTTCAAACCAAGATATAACCGGCAAGTTGAAGCATCAAGCTCAGCAATTTGGGCCAAGTAAATCTCCTGTACCATCTGGACTTCTTGGAGTAGAACGTGAACAATGGGGAACGGAGGTCGACGAAGCTGAACGGCAGCGTTTTGATGATGTGTTGGAACGTGTTCTGGCAGAACTGGAGCCTGTTTGTCTTGCTGAACAAAATTTTTGTGTTTCGTTTTTCCAGTTGGATGTTTTGAGTCCAACTACAAAGGTTAATGCGTTTTTGTCAGTTGTCAGTCTTAAATGGTTGTGTTTAACTGGTATTTTATTAATGAACAATGGCTTTTCTTTAACAGAATACCCAAACAACATTAGATGGATTGACTGCAGAAGTTAAGGAAGAAGTAGATTCATCATCCTCCGCTGTAGCAATTCCTCAGAAGAAAATAGAAAAACAAATCAATGAAGAAGTGAGGCGAATGATGAGTGATTTATTTACATGCTTGGAGCCAGAATTGATGGCTTTCATATCTTATTATGAAAAAATTGATAGTTTGTTAGTATTCTAATATATCATTTTGTAAAATAATTGCAGCCTCTTTATTATAAAATTATTCAAATTAATAATGTTTTTGTTTTTCATAGTTACTGTATGTACGTCCTTGTACGCCTAAGTCAACATGTGCTCTCTGCAGAAGACACTGGATCATTCCTCAGCAAAACTTATGGATTAGCTTTAGTGAAAGTGAAGAGAATTTTTGATAATTTTATGAAAGCTCAACTCAAATCTATAGAAGAAGCAAAAGTTAATCGCAAAAGCAAATGCGGCATACTACCTTACGTCGAAAATTTTGAGGTACTCTGCTGTACTAATTTTTTAGTGATAAGATGGGATAACAGACGTTCAACACTTTATTACCTAATAAAACATTACAACTCTATCTTGAAATAAAGATAAAACTTGTCAACACCTGACAGCAATTCTTTGCATTTTGATTTTCACTAGGATTTTGCACGAACTGCAGAAACTATTTTTAAAAATACTGATCGTCGTACGGATTTAGATAAATCATACATTAAACTTGTTGGTGCAATGTTTGAAGCCATTCCTCGCAATGCAGCTGAACATCACAAAACACCTCAGGAAGTTGTAAAAATGGGTATGTATTTCTACCTTTGTTTTGTTTGAGTATAATTTCTTTTGTGGTCTTACATGTTGCTGACCTAAATGGCTGAAGCTCTTGCAAGCATTTACCAATGATTACCTAAGTGAACCTTCAAAGAATTTCATCTTATTCTGTGATCATGCAAATTCATATTTGCTCCCTTTCCTTTTTTCCCCCCCTTCCTTTCTCTTTTTATTATTTTTTTAATTTCTCGTTTACTTTATAAAGAAAGAGTTATAAAATGATGCAATAAAAAGTGTCAATATTTTGTATGAAAGTTATGCTAAGCCAAGCTTAACCACAACATACATTCTATTATGAAAGGGAATAAAAACACCGTAACTTATTTTAGGTCAAACTTTTCTTAATAACGTGCAATATCAGCAATGAATTTCTTTCTAAAACATTGTATAATCAAAATAGAAATTATATTTCAGTTGTTAAGCCTAAATAAATTATGTCATGGTAATATTAGATGGGAGAGGGGGAGGGAGGGAGGGGGAGACTTATCATAACAATGACAGATAACATAATAATTCTTTCTAAATTTCTTGAAATATTTAAGATTCATTGGAACAGTGGTGCATTGTGATGTTAGTGCTCAGATCGATGGAACATGAACCAAACATAAAATAATTCTGGACAGATTCTAAACAATCCTTTTAGTGTATTGGTGTCCCTATCTGTTCACATGGGAGAAGGCAAAAAAGCAGTATTTACTCAGTATACTTACTGGTATAGTTTGGAATTGTCACCATGTAAGAGTTTATTACAATATTGAAATTATCCCTTTCATAACACTAAGAGGAGAAAAAGTTGTGAGATGCCATGAATTGCCACAGTTGTTCTTAATGATTGATCTGATTTTCAAAATTGGATATTTAAATAATTCCATATAACATTTTTTCAGAATATTATTTCCTGGTAATTTTGAATAAAATAGTGACAATGCGAAAAAGTTTCTTAAACAAGAGTTTCTGAAAAATGCCCTCCCTTCCCTCAAATAGAGCAAAGTTCGCAGTGTTATATAAAGAAGTTTACTTTGTTATTTCTATTGTTAAAGTGGTTAATAAATTTACAATGAGTTGTCTAAAACCTGCTTCTTAATGATTGTGCTGTAAACTGCTCCCCACCCCATCCCACTCCACATTGGGATAACTGAAGAAGAAAAAAGTATGTAGACATTTCATTTTGTGGATCTTTAATTTTTTATTATAAATGATTTAAGCTGAGCTAATAACGTATATTAATAAATTGGCGAAATTTATTTCAGTATTATAAAATGTGCAGGATAATATTGAATTTCTGTGAACATCCCTTATCAATAAATCATCTTTCAATTATATTTTTCTTTTAAAAGTTATTTATTTTGAAATTCAACAGTTTCTTGCCTAAAATCATGAGTCATATCACTTGAATGAACACTAAAAAAGAAAGAGTATTTCCCATGTATTATACACATATGATACATGGTCCTCAAATTTCAAAATACAGGAGTAAAAGAAAATTCAACCAGCTACAATATAATATGTTTATATACATATATTATATATATAAGTTATGCATCAAATACATATTGTGAGCAATACAGATTATTAAAAAGTAAATTGTTTAATACAAGCACAGTGCACACAGTGTTATAAAATTAATATTATTTTAAACAAAGAGAATTTTAATTGCTTATTTTAATAAAACTGCAATGTTAAATTTTTATAAAAAATACGTATCCACCAAATTGACCAACTCCTCTGTATGCCCAACAAATCCCAACCCGCCTCTGTTTAAGATTCACAAGACACTTTATAGAACAGACTCTAAGGGACCACCCCCCTCCTTACCAACTAACAACTTTACCCTACAGTCCTGAAAATTCAGTACACAATTTTGAGTTTGAAAGTTTTTTTTTTTTTCCCTTCAAGATTGTAGTTAAGTAAAAATCATTTATAGATCGTCTTATTATACTATGATGCAACTATGTAAATCAACAATGCAAATTTTGACAATGCCCCAAAATTGGCATCTTTTGCAAGTGTCACTACATTCCCACCAAGATGCACCATGACCCGTTACATTAATGTTAGGGTTCAGATAAATCCAAGTTCTATACTATGATTAATCATTAATATAAAGTACTGTATAGTGCTTCAATATATAAAACTATTTTTATCCTTTCAGTACGTTTATTTTTCTATTTAATATCCCTTCATCCGAAACCCTTACAATTGACAGCCTATTGTTCCTTATTCACATTAAAGGTATTTCATGAAAAGATAATCATGTAAATTCAGCACTCCAATGGGCAATATTTATTGATAAGTAAATAGTGTGATGACTTTAATTCATGTTTTGGGGTTTTGCTTTCAGAAAACTTTCATCATCTCTATGCTTTACTGTCTCAATTAAAAATTGGAGTCCTTGATGGACTACGTAAGGATGCAAAACAAAAATATAATGATGCTCTTAAGGCCTATGTGACCCAGTACTTTGGACGTCCGTTAATCAAGTTAAATGTAAGTTAACAGTAAGGCCAGATATGTTTTTCAAGCATTGTGCATTATTGTCTTTGGAACTAGATCCAACGATTTTCTGTTTTTGTTTTTTTCTCAGGTATTTTTTGAAGGTGTTCTTGCAAAAGTTGCCCAAGGTGTAAAAGAATCTGAAATCAGTTATCAATTGGCATATAGCAAACAAGAATTAAGAAAAGTAATAAGAGAATATCCAGCTCGTGAAGTGAAAAAAGGCCTAGAAAATTTATATAGGAAAGTGGAAAAACACTTGTGTGAACAAGAAAGTCTCTTGCAGGTATTTATATGTTCTTTTTATTTTATTTTTATTACTATGTGTTATTCTTTTTGTAACCTTCTTAAAAACTGTCTTCAAACTTGTAAGTGTTTTTCCGATCTGTTTAATTATGTATTGAGTTTTTTTGGGACAAAATGATTAAGTTTTCATTTGTACGGGTTAAAAAAAAAGAAATACCTGCCCATGTGCAGACGCAGAGGTGTGGGCATGCACACACCACCACCAACACCGACACATGAAAATAACTGGATTGGGGGAAATATTTAAAAATCACCTATATTATCCGTCACATCGGCCAGTGTTAACAAATTAAGTATTAAAAGAAAGAATGCTATGGAGAAGGCAGCACTTTTACTTCATTTAATTTATGTTTGCTAAGAGAAGGTATCTGAATTAGGTGGGGATAAATGTAAACCCACATCATGCTTTCCTTTTAATGATGTGCAATTCAAGAACAGTGAGTTCTAGAGCTTTCAAACCTTGAGTTATGTTTTTCACGCCATCATCTTTAATTTGAGATCTTGTGGGACCTTCTGTTTTGTATTTGAAGATTTGATTCTTCTGAGGACCTGCACTCTGTGGCAAGGATGAGAAGTGCAGTATCTCAAATATTATTAAAACATTTTGCTAATTCATTCAGATGTGGAGAGAAGGGAAAGAAAGTATGTTTACACATGTGAGAGTGTTCACATAGTTGTATTTTATTATAAAAGAAAACGTTGGAAGAGCTTTGAGTACTTTGCACATTTCAGTGTACCTGAAATGTTATCTGAAATTTTCAATTTTCCTCGTTATCTGAAATTTTCAATTTTTATGACACATTGAGATATTGATAATTTCAGGTGGTGTGGCGAGCTATGCAAGAAGAATTTATCCAGCAATACAAAGCCATTGAAGATTTAATTCAGCGTTGTTATCCTGGTGCAATGATAACATTAGACTTTTCTATTCAAGATATTCTTGACTTCTTTTCAGAAATTGCTTTGTCTCATTGATTTACTTACAATATGAAAAAGTTTTGCTTAGTTAATGAATTATTCTAAAACTGTATATGATATAAGTGATATTAGATGATTTTGCAGAGATAAGTAATTTGTGAATACAGTATGTATACTATTTTCTTGTGAAGACATGTTAGAAAATATTTTAAGATCATGTTATTTATTTACCGTTAATATTTAAATTAAGATAATTAATTCCACTTTATTTTTTATTTTTTTTTATTTTTTAATAGTTCAAAATGAACCTCTAACCTTTTCCATCCCTCACAATAATAAAATGTTGCTATTTTTGTGTTTGAATAGATGATAATTTTAATTATAAGGGCTCATATTTTTTATTCAAAAAGTTTAGGCCCACTCATATTAAAAATTATTCACTTGGAGAACTATACGAAAACCTCTCAAGGCTGCTTTATTTTTTACATATTTCTGCAGACTCTCCTAAGGAAACTTAACAAAAACTTAAATAATGCATAAAAAACAGGAAACATTTGTCTGTTCACTCCAATTTGAATGGATTTTGTTAATGTTAAGATCGATTAAATAATTTTTACATACTTTTTTTGTGACTTCAGACAAACAATTTAATTGTGTGAAATAGTCCTGTAAATTTGGGGGTTTAAGAAACTAATTTACATTTCTAATAGAACATTAAAATACTATTTTTTTAAATATTGCAATTACATTTGTGACCAATCTAATATATAGAAATCAAGGTTTGTTCGTATTTTATGCGCCGCCGTACCATACATTCGTTTGCTATAAAACTGACAACTTATATGTTTGTCGCCCAAATAAAATAGATTTTACGCGTCTATGTTGATTCAAGCGCACCTGGACAGAAGCGCTACGCAACCCGCCACACAGTCAAGTATTAAGCTTGTCTTCGCTGCATACTGCCCCTGTAAGTGTAAAGAAAGAAAGAAAATCGTAATTATGAGGGGAATGTACACGGAACAATTTATTGTTGCGATAAATTGCACCTAACAATCGTTAGATAAATTGCTAAGACAAATCTCTCGGTTAAATCGTGAGTTCTCGATGAACGCAGTTTTATTGAATCGAGATTTCTTCTCATATTAAACGGTCCAATTGACTTACACGTATGTTTTGTTTGTACCTATTATTTGATCTAATCTAAAATATTTATCTATCTTGTTATAAATAATGACCGATTAAATGCTGAAATTGAGGAGCTGTGTGAGAGTTTGAATTTGTGCATCGTAAAAGTTGAACATGACCAAACTGCTTGAAATTGGGGTACATAGTAAATAATAAAAGAAATCGTTCAAAGTGGGTCAAAACATGGCTAATGAAAAAGATTTGACTTTTCCGTAAACACGGATAATTACGATATAACTCAAGTAAACCGTGATAAACTATTAGTCGCCATTTCTTAAACTATCACGAGTACATGCTGTAGTTTGCAAATATCGGCATATTTTGACAATTTATCAGCAGCTAAATCAGTTGCATCAAGAACGTGCTCTAGAAAGACGCGACTCAATATTTGTAACCCCTGCTGCAATTATGGGCTGAAATCGTATCGTATATCGCACACCATGGCAATGCAGTTTGTGATATGATTCGTTCACGCTCACATGGAGGCGAAAAATGTGGGGCAAACAGAAGAAAACAAAATGGAGAGTTTCCTGGAAAACATTAGGAAAATATACACGTCAAATTATTTCTCAGGAATCGAATCGTGTTACTGTTTACTTGGATTTCGCTGATCTCAACATGATCCGGTAGGGGTTTTTTTTTTTTTTTTTTAGGTTTTCCTCTGCTTACAATGGTTTAATTTTTGTTGTTATGTGTAGGTACACTTTCTCACCATGAGAGGTTTTTTTTCCTCTAAAATAAAGTTGTATTTTCACGATAACTAAGTTCTATTGAGTAGTGGAGTGCGGCAAAGGGGGGGGGGAGCCAGGGTAAGCCTTTGTAGATTCCTTACTCTCCCAGAAATCAGGAAAGAACAATTTTAGCACCATCGAAACAAAGAGGACAAGGGTGGATTTCTTCCTTGAACTGAAGAAAGTTAGATAGTTATTTCAAATCTATATGGGCCACGTAAGGGCACCACCTTCGTTCAAACATCTCAACATTTCAATGCAATTATAAGGTGTTTCACCGGCAAAAGTTTATAGATTATCCAAATTTTTTGAAATAATATAAACAACCCACTAAAAGAACAGCTCTCACAAAAACTAGTGGTGCTACAGAATGGCACAGACTCTCGTACTTCTTAGTTTTCTAATTTCTTTGGTGTGGACTAGCTTAACATTCTTGCCTGAAATGTTCTCAATTTTTCGATTTCCTATTGGTGGATTCAAAATATTACTTTTAGAATACTAAAGAAGAGTAAAACCTCGACCTATATTGAAATTTCGTTGAAAAATCTAGAACCGTTTTTAAGGGAAAAAAAATAGTTTAAGCTCATGTAAATGCGCAATTTGAAGTTCTTTTTCACAGAAATCTTTTGAGTTTTCGAAAAACTTCATTCCACTCACAAATGCATAATACGTGTAATTGCTTGAAATGTGCATATTAACGGCGTGAGAAATATTTAAAAAACACAAGAATACAATAATATAAATTAAGTTTGAAGAAAAAAATTGGAACAGTTTTTGAAAAGAGCGTTGCGTGTTTCAGAAAATGAAGAATTTTGAGCTGTTTTCACAGAAAAGTTTTGAGTTTGCGTGAAAACTTTTAAGATACCATTTAAAGCAAGCACATGTTCTCATAAATGCAATAATGTGGACAAATCACCGCTAACGTAATGTTAACGACGCGAAAGGCTTGTCAAAAAATTACAGTTTTGAAGAAAAAACAAAATAGAGTAAAATGGCGTTTATGTCATCTAATATAGTATGTTTAGCATTATCCCCACCGAAAGTTTACAGAACAATTTGGAACCGTTTTTGAGAAAATCTTGTTTTTGCTATTGTTTTAAAAAATTGCAAATATTGCGTGAAAACTACTAAAGTTTCAAAAACTGAACATAACCTTAATGAAAGAACTAATTATGGACAACAAACTTAATTTGAAGGCAAAATACCTATCTTTAACAATGTGGGGAAACTCGGAAATAATTCAAACTTTTGCAGTTTTCAAAAGTTAGGAGTTAACCGTAAAAATTGGACCAACGCTATCTTTATAAGTATATTTTACAATAAATCGAAACAAAAAATTAGAGCCTTTTTTGAAAAAGAATTGAAAATATCCCAGGCGTTTCATGTAAAGTACCCCCAAATTTTAAAAAATGTTTTTCAAAATCTCAAAGCTTAGACTTGAGCCAGATCGACAGAGGAATTTCCATTTTGAAAAAAATCCTACGCATAATTTAGGCGCTAGTGGTGTTCTAAGACGGACGGACGTTAAAAAAAACTTTTTCGGTATCAGAATCTCAAAACGTGTATTTCCGTTGAAATCTCAAAATCGATTTTCCGCAGCATCACATAACTTTCTCTATACTACGTTTATAACTCCGTGTATACGTATGTATATGAGAAAGTTGTCATTTCCATGCACATTGCATGAACGTAATGAACAAACAGCGTCATAACATGCATGAGCCACTAAAAATTGATGGATCTTCAAGCCTTTATTTGTGTATGAGTAAAATCCAAGCCATCTTTTGTCGTGTTCAGTTTTTCAAATAACAATAGAAATGTCACTAAGAGCCAAAAAAACTGGTACAGTCATGCGTATTGAAATAAAGAGATCTGGAACCAATCAGAATACGACGCTCCGGTCGGCAACGACTAAATAAGACAGCCAGAGTCTGGCATATTTGTTAGATCGGTTACTGTTAAAGTCGATCTTTTGTTGAATGCCATTTGCCTTATTCTTGTAAGTGTTCCTCACATTGTAATCTAAAGAATAATTTATTCTTGTTCTACTAAATTTTTGTTGGTTCGACACATCGATACTATCAATGCCACCTATATTTCAACCGTTGTTGATGGTGACGTCACCTTTAGAAGGCTTAGATTCCTGTTATAATATTTACGCTTCTGTGTATATCGTACTTTGCGCAAACTGAAGGGGTTTATTTGCATAAATATTAATTCAAGATTCGCTCTCACAGCATCAACTAGAAGTACTATTAATAGTTGTTTTATTTCGGTGTAGATGTTTCTTATACGCGTAGTAAAAACATTCGCTTAACGTTTTGTCGAGGTCTGCAAGTGCTGTGGGTGTGGGGAAGGGACGTGGGTGTACAGTGAAGAATGAAGGCGTGTCTTGTTAGGTTTGGTTTGTGTTTTACCTGTACCAATATTTTCGTTATCAGCAATGCTTTGGTGAAACTTTAAAGTCAGTGTGTTCAGTCACGTAGCTTTCTCAGGAGTACAAAAGCTCAATATTTTTATTCTCACTCACTTGCACCACTCCTACAGATTTATTTAATAGCGTAAATTGCAACAAAACACGTTCTTTTCAGTTTTCACTTCTCCAACTATCAATTTATGTTAAAAACTTTGAATGTTTATGTATATATATATAGTGGCGTTATGAGATTGTGCAACCCCATAACACCACCGTTTCATATGTGTGAACACTACGGAGGCAGCGAGGATAACAGGCGCGTAAGGCAGAGGTTCTTAAACGCGCGACCTAGTATCCGTTGCCCATACTAAACGAAGGCGAACTAGCGAGCAATGTTTTCCTTGTGAAGGGTTGAGAGAGGGGAAGCAGCCCCACCACTGAGAATTTCCCCAGGCGTCGGACGATAAATACGCGAACCCGCAAGCGGAAGCTCTCTTTTCTTGCCACCACTCGTCGAGTAAGCAGCATTTGGATCTCCGATCGCCGAGCCAGTAGCATTTTTGATGACCGCTCGCCAAGTCACCACTTTCGTTAACATTAGTTTATATATTGTTTGCCGCTGCAACGACTACTAGGTAGAAGTATTCGGCATCGAACAGACGTTCTAGTCAGTCGTCCGCTTGATAGTGCAGATTAAGTAAAGTGTTTCTTCAATTAACGACACGGGAAGTAAAAGTTACCCGTTGTGAGAGAAGCATTAAAAGTTCAGGTTTAGCAAAGTAGAAGTAGCAACGAGTGAGGAACTTGCACGAGTATTCGGCGAATTGCAAGGGATACTTTCGCAACGTGGGCGTAGTCAGAGGTGCCGGTAGCAGACGAGGTGGAAGATAACGGACGGACCCAGGCGCACGAGGAAGACGACGGAACGGCTGGGAGGAAGAACGGAAGAGGACGCAAGAAGGCAACGCAGACGGCAGAGGCGAATCCCGTCTCTCACGACGCAGAAGCTGGGACCGAGCGACGTCGGCGCAGAGACCAGCGCACGACCATCAAGGCCAAAAGTGGGAAGTCCGCGAGGTAACGGTTAGTCGCGGAAAATAGGTCAAGTTCACGTCGACAGGGAAAAACTAGTATAGGAAAGTGTTAAGAAATTGAGGACACGGGTGGCAACAAATTGCAGTATTATAGTAGGAGACATTTTGATGCTCTATAGCCTGCATAAAACATTCTACTTAGGACATTTATTACTCTGCTATTTTCAGACATAGTTAAATTGTAAATGAGAGTAGTGCACTTGCACACATTTTGTTCTTTGCGTGTAATATTTTAAAGCAGGAGATTGTAAATTGAAATTTTGGTTTCATGTGCATTGTAATTAAAATAGCATAAATTTAGATATAATTCATTTTCCAAGGGAATTCCCAGTGTAGATTAGGGTAATTATTTGAGAATCAACTTTGAAGTAAATTATATGTGTCCACTCATATGAGTGTGTGTTGTAAAGGTTTCTATTTGTGTTTTGATCATTCTTTGTAAAAGTGTGATTCTATATTCTTGGTTTTTGTCATGAACTTATGCCACTAAAAGTTTATGGGTAAATTATACGCTCGTTTGTGTGCGATTTGTGTGATTGTATTGTGTCAAGGGTTCAAACCTTTCTCGCACCCCGAAGATCCTGCTCCCTAGATTTTTAAGCTCGCTTCACGAGCAAAATCTTGATAACCCGCATACGGTTCATACGTGCTGCTGTGAAGGCGGTAAGTTGTGGGTGTGGGTGGGTTAGTTAGAATATATATATTTCAAAATCATTCCTGCTGTGTCATCACGCCTGATATACTAATTATCAAAAAGAAAAATAATGTTTATTTTAACGAAACAGTGATATATGATGTATTAGTTTACATTCGTATTGTATAATTTTTTTAAAAGACGATATGATTCTAACAAATAATGTAATTTAGCTTCCGGGTCAATGACCCTCATCTCGATCAAGTTTTTGTCCAGTTTCCCTTCTGGACGTAAATGTAGCTTCGCTATGCGCACGTTTGGTTCAACTCTCCTTTTGCTTGTAATGGGAAGAATAGAGGTAAGGGGATTTGCTATTTTGTTAACAATGCAGAAAAAGCATACATGCAATTCGTGTACCTATGCAAATAAGTTTTCTTTAACTCAGAAACGAAAATGACTATTTATCAAATATTGCCATTCTTGCGATTTTAAATTTATTTATGTTAAACTTTATCATCTTTCAACTATTTATAGCTAAAATAACGGGAAGGGATTCTGGAACTCAAGAAAACGTGCGCAGATAATCTTTTTCCCCTAAGTCACATACAGTTTTGACTTTTTTTTGACTGAATAAATCTAAATCACCTCACTATCACTAGTTCTACCATCAAGTACTCTATTAGAAACACTTTCTGCATTGCATTTACATAAAGATGTTAATTTATTAAAACTAGGGATTTTTTGGAATATTCTTTTATTTCTCGTTATTTGGAAGAGTATGGATTAATTTACAAAAATTACAGGTTTTAATTTACAAAAATTTGCTTTAATTACAAACAAAGAATAAGAGCATGATTTGTACAGTTGTGTAAAATTTTAATCACCTGGGCAGTTTTGAATCTAGAGCAGAATAAATAAAATTTAGTCCCGTTTTATAAGAAAAGAGAATGCAATCAAAGTCAACATCAGACTTGCTATTAACACTTCAAAATATGGAGAAAATGAAGAGGTGATTAATATAACATTCTATACTACATTTATGAAATTCTCCCTCCTCACCGCTTTTACCTATTTCAAGCACAATTCTTTATTAGAAATCTGTATGTTTAGGATATAATGCAAATAAATCGTTTATGACGATCACAACCATTTACTTATCACTTGAACATACCTGTGAAACATAATTTTACTCCCGTTTACATCTATTTTACCAGCTCTATTTGTGCAATTATACACACAACTGGAAACTACCATTATAGCTGTAATATAATATATACCAATTTAAATCAATAAATTACGATGATAAGGCTCACAGGATTTTTTCGAGGTAACTCCCTGGCAGTTAAGTCTAACGACGTTATTTACCCATAAAAACATGGTCGTGCAGTAACTTATCAATGTGCAACAGAATTTACCTTTTCAAAATTCATCGGAATGAATTAAAATTAACATCACACGACATACGTATCCTTAAACATCTTGAAAAAAACACATTTACGCTAATTCGCAGTTAACAGCTGATCGCTTTTGCCATCCTAATGGCGGCGACGGACCTCTTCAATTTGGGAGTGGAACAGTGGCGCTTGTGGCACATCTAGCGCCTTCTTAAGATACTATATCTATGGTATAGTAAGTTCGTTTCGTTGTGATTCAGTTGTCAGCTTTGCGTGTTTGTTTTGTCTTCCGTGGGTTGGTTAGTAATTCTTTGCTGGCTATTTATTCTGTTCGTCTTGCAGCCAACATTATACTCTAGAACTCACTGTTTGTAACAATGCAGTTGTCAGCCCTGTAAAGTAGTTGGAATGAACTACGCACAGTGTGCGCTTTTCCGAATTATTATTAATAGTTGTCAGCTTTGCGCGTTACTCTGTCGTTTGCTTTTCCAGTCAAAGAGCTTCTGGCATCAGTTGCATCACAATATTAGCGTAAATTTTATATACAGCCAGATACCAAAAGCATCATCTTCTTCAGTTAATAGAATTAGGAAAAATGTTTTCCAATAGTTCTTCACCACTTCTCTTCCTACACGATACGGTATAACTGTATTACGAGTGACGAACAGTTTAATGTGAAAATTTGAATTGTGGATCTATGTTGTGAGACAGTGTCTTATTCGTATTATTACATATTTGATAGATCTACAATTTGCCCCGAACACATTGTAAATAAAGATATACGATCGTTAACCTGGTTATATAATAATTGTCTGTATAAAATACTGAAATATACCAAAAAGGGGAAAAAACACAATCAAATAAAAATAGAGGCATGCTCTTAAAAATACCATATCTTTCCATCGCAAGTAAAAAGTCTTTAAAAGGGAGTTTTACTTAGAGTCCCTGAATATAGAGCTTAAATAGAATCAACGAAATATTTCAGAAAATTGTTTAGAATGATGCAGCCGCTAACTACTGTGTATTTGCCCATATTGACGTCGGGAATGCAGAAGAAAATATTTATATGATTGTTATTTGTATTAATTAACAATGATGTCCAACTTAAATATCCACAAAAAATCTTTACAATAGCCTGTACTATATGTCTATTGAGCAGGTTCGTGGTGTCGTTTGCCAAATTCTCGCGGATGTGAGCCGATTGCTTCACGTTCGTTACGATAAGGGAAAGATAGCCATAAATACAATTGAATTCGCTGTTAGAAGTCACGTTACATAGGTCTCACGTTTAGAACACAATTAATTGTATTACAATTAGGTATTTTGTGTGTATCGAGAAAACGAGGAATCACAACAAATGTTTGTGACGTTTGCTCCCCTGGGCAAACTACACATTCTTTTGAGTCGATTTCAAAAGTTAATTCCTAAGAACATTGTTTTAGAAATCGTCAACCTTGTTTACATGTTCGTGCAATGACACCTGTTAATGATTCGAAAGTGACATAATGCACTTTTGGTTTAATAAATGGTCTCCGTATATTTTAAAATTTTTATTGATGCGAAGGAAGATCACGTAAGTATATGCAGTGGAGGAATCGAGTATAGCATGTAGAGGTATATCGTGTGAAGCCAATCAGTTGCCAGGAAATTCAGTCGAAAGCGCCTAGTTCAAGATATATGACGTTTTATGGTGTTGAGATGTTAAGAATTGTGAAGCACTTCGAGAAATAGTGTTGTGAACGTATTTTAGTGACAGTGTCTCACATATAATGAAACTACGTTAACACATCTCCATGTATTCTCGAGCAATGCATATTTCAATGTCGATCGTGTGTGTTATTCGAATTGATTGAAACGTCTCACATTGAGGTAATCAAACAGAAAAATTGCAGTCTGATAATGTGTGCATGATGAACGGATTCATAAAATAACAGTTATTTTAAGAAATAATTATTTACTTTCCTATTTGTGTAAGCATACTTGTGTACTTATATTTTGTTTGAGGTTGTCTCTTGATTATAGTTGAAGTAGTTATAAACACTTTCTCAAATTACGTTTTCAAATTCTGTGGTTTTGATTTGTTGTTTCTTTTCCTTTGGGATGAAAGCCAGTGTTGAAATTGACCAACATTACACTTGGAAGTGTGTAATTTGATACTAATAACGTGACTTCTGAAAAGTTTATATTTCTGTGAAAAGAAAAGTATTTTTTTAAATGAAAACTCGAATATCTGCATTGAATATTTTCAATAAATGCAGAACAAACGTTGGAGTTCCAGATATTTCAGCGTATATGATGTACAATATTGGCAAAAGAACAGAAATAAAGAAAGAAAATACTAATTTTACATTAGTATTTTTGCTTAAATTTTACAATTTCTTTGGATCAATTTTGGAAAGTGAGTTTGAATAATTATTTCTCTTATTTGATTATTCCAACTATATCCTTTGCTAATCCAATTACAGGAATAAATATTAATTATAAATGATATATTCTATTACACTTTATGATTAGTACACTTTTGTAGTCGCAAAAGAGTGTTTTTGTTTGAAATGTACTTGCTAAAATTGTGGAAAGAGAATATAATTATATAAAATATGTGCTTCAGGTTGTTTGTTGTACATTAAATTTATTTTTACAGGTTTGTAACAGTGTATAAGGGAAAGAACAAATGGCAGAATGTTTGAAAGAAATTTCACTTCAGGCATTATGGCAGTGTGAAATAACTGAACAAGAAGAGGAAGAGTATATAAATGATCAAGTAGTACCACTTAATCATATGGTAACTTATAAATTATACTGAATTATTTATATTTATTTCAAAATGTAATTATTGAAATAAATTGTTAATTACATGAGAATAAATGACCACAAATATTTATGAGAATATTTTAATTTTATTTTTTTCTAAAAAATGAATGTAAATTTTTAATTAAAATTATTTTCATGAACACTTGCCCTCTGGGGAATAAAAAAGGATAACTTTGTTGTCAATTAGGCATTTCAGAGAAAATTGTTTTTCTGATGTTTATTACAATTTCTTCATCTCTTAAATGAGAAGAAATATTTTTGCATTTCATTTTAATATGTTACAGGTTCGTGAGTCATACTTAAAATACTTGAAACAAGTACTCACAAAAAACTTGAATATGTGTTCTGATACAAGTAATATTTATGCTCACCATGACATTGAAAAGTGTGCTGGCCTGTTGGAGTTAAAAGCCTTTCGCTTGTGTATGGTCACCAGTCTCTACCAAAAGGCAATGCTGCAAATGGTATGCTTTATTTAATTTTTCTTATTTTTTATCCTTCTATTTGGCACTCATATATATATATATATATATATATATATATATATATATATATATATATATATATATATATATATATATATATATATATATTTTTTTTTCTTATTTTTTATCCTTCTATTTGGCACTCATATATATATATATATATTTTCAGGCTCTTTTAATTCACTTTCTTGACATTAAGTTCTACTAGATGCGACACAAGACTCTTGTTGAATCATTACACTAAAAGCCTTTTTAATAGTAGATGATTAAGCATAGTATGTTCAGGACAAAAAATAATATATGAAGTCTTAATCTCTGAAGTGAAATTAGGAGCTGAGGGGGTTAGTTACCACAAGTGAACAAATTCTATTTACACTTGAGTGCTATACATTATTTTATTCATTACCACTCATATTATCCAGTACCTATCACAAAAGGAAGAAAGTTTAAATGAAATATCTAATCTTCAGATCTAGATTCACATTTTGAGACATGACTGAATTTTCAGATGTCTTTCAATTATCTCTATGAAATAAGATTTTAATTTGTTTTATTATTTATTTAATTGGATGCCTCTGATGGAAAAAGCACTAATTTCCAAAACATGCTGAAATTGAAAGACTTGCCTCTAGCCATGTGAGAAGTGTCTCCAATAAATCCAAAAAACTTTGATGTTACCGATTTCCAGTTCATGCAGGTATTGAAAGAATACAGAATCCGTCCATGTGAGAGGTGTCTAAGGTTTTGTTAGATACAAGGAACTTGGGATGAATTTGAAAACGATGAAACTTTTATGATTTTGACTGGAAAGTACAAATATTTGATTGTGTTATTCCACCTATTCTCACAATGTGCATATTGACTGAATTCTCATACTCAATGTGGCACTGATTATGACAAAAGATGGTCATTGGTAGGAAGGCTCTAAGGAATATGCCATAGCAACATTTTTTTTATAAGTCTTGGTATATAAAGAAATATTGTACTGTATGAATTCTACATTTAGTTATTGTATTATTAATAACTGTTTTTATTAAAATATTTAATTCATTACATTGTTATTTGAGAGTATTCCATCTGGCTTTCTTTGTGACTATGTATCTTATATTTTCAAAAAACATTTTGTGATGTTTTTTGGGAAGAATTTTCCCTGCTGCAGACTCGTTTCTTTATAATTCTTCAAAGTTATGCCCACGAATGTAGAAATGTAACAAGTGTTCTTCACACCCTTTGGTAACACTTGTAGTTCATTAATTAATTTTAAATAATAATAATAATAATAACAACAACAACAATAATAATTAAAACAAAAGATTGTGTTTTCAGTTGAGTTAGGAAAAGATAGGAAAACGATACGGAACCATTCTTGACTGGAAATGAAATTTTTCTTTGGGTACTGGGTGCCCTCTTATCTTCTGAATTTGTTTTCCCAGCAGTTTCCCATTTTCTAGGCCTGAACCCGTCTACATAAGAGTAAGATTGTAATATATCTACATAGTATATACAATTACACAAATGTAATTTTTTTAATTTCATTCTCTTATTGTTAATATTTATATTACATACCTTATTTCTACGTGGTTGCATTTATGAATAGAAGAGCTTGAAATGATTTCTAATGAAGTTTTTCATTTTAAAAATAGCTTCAGATGTTACAAAGAAAAAGAAAATTTTCATGTGTTATATTCCTTTGTGTTAAAATTGATGTATAACATCTATAATATTCTTGAAGTAATATTTCAGTTCTACCATTAGGGGACCAAAAGATTGAGAAAGTGAGAAACAATGAACTTTGGATGGTGATAGATGGCAGCTGGAAAGAAGGTGACGTAAAACTAAAAAACTAGCCCACAGAAATTAAAAAACTAGCAAGTATGAGAAAGTCTGACATTCTGTAACAACATTAATTACATTCTTTTGTACGCATGTATATACGTAGTAATGTATGTGGAATTCGGAATTCATATAATACAGAGAAAGTTTTGTAATGCTGCAGCAAAAATGTTGATATTTGGACAGGAAAATTTTGAATTGTGGGGCCCTCTTACCGAAAAATATATTCTTCCTGTGTGTAGTAAAATTACTTACGCGAAGACGTAGTTTGGTCAGGATCCACATTTTGTGGGTGCCTGATACCGAGAAATTGGTTTACAGCAAAATGTATATCTAATTCTATAGTCAAGCAAACGCCTAAACCATTCATGAGGTTTCCTCCCAAATTGATATCTGGCTGAACTATCCATCTAACTGAACTAGAGGCCCTGCGATTTTGAAATAGATATTTTGTTTTTTGTGAGTACTTAACGCGAATCTAAACATATTCAAAATCTTCACAAAATGGCTCAATTTTTTTTATCTCGCACGTACTTTGTAAGAAGAGAGAATTATATAATCGTGCGCCGGAAAACGAATTTTCGCCAGAAAACTTGTATTACTGGGCTCTGCTAACGAAAAAGTTGATAAATCCTGTTGCTATATTTAGTAATCTAGCTCTAAAGAACTCTAACACGTAGTGTAGCAAGAATCCATTGTGGACGGTTGACACCGAAATAATCGATTGACGGCAAAACGTCTGCCCGTGTCGCTGTGGTCAACTCTGGCGCCTGAACCATTCAGCCAATTTTCTCCAAAATTTATAATCCCTGATCGATCTGAACTCCAGGCTTTGGGAATATCAACCGGATATTTTTATTTTTGATGGCTTTTTTTTAAGCTATAAAACTATTTTCGAATTTTCTCAAATATTGCAACAACTTTTTGTATTAAACAACTTTGTGCTTGGTTAGCGTAAACGACACTTTCGGGAAATTGTGCAGGTTTAATAATCCTTAAAATCCTTTTTTCCCTTTTTCTTTCTCTTTCGTACTTTGTACGAAATGTTCCGTTCTTTCGAAGATTACGAAAAGTTAACATTAAAAAAAAGATATTTTTGTCTGTTCCAAAATAATCAGCTCATTCACAGTGGTTTTGTTTTAAGAAAACGAGTAGTTTTCGTGTAATTTGGGCTTGAAATTAATGAAATTTATTTTAAAAAATACATTTTCTCAAAAACTCTCCAAATGTTTTCCACTAATACAAGGGCGGTTAAAAGAATGGCGCGTTACTAATTTTCGTTGAACACTGTTTGAAAATGGCAAATTTCGACATACGAGAAAGTATGGAACAACTTGTTGATTACCTGTTTTTCTCCAGTATAGCAATTTATTTAAAAATGGCGCAGGTCACGTTTGTAAAACTGAAATTTCGAAAAATGCAAGTTAAACATTTTTTCGCGCCTTCCTATTATATTGAAGATATGTTTTGTTAAGGAAATTGCTTTTGAAAATTAGATATTTAAATGAGATGTACAAATTTGTTCAAATGTGTAGTTTTGCGAAATATTACCTGCAACATAAAACAAGCTACTGACATTTTTTCCATTGCATTTTTTATTCGAATGGAAAGTACGCTTTTAAAAATGGCGCACGACCCATTAAGTAGAACCTCAATGATAGAAATTTTTACTTTCTCGCCCTTCGTAAGGGAAGAGAATTGTAATCGTGGGCCTGAAAACGGCAAATATCCGACTGGAAAACTTATTGTCGGGCCCTAGTAACGAAAAAATTGATTAAATCATGTACCTGTATATACATTACAATAAGTGTAAACCGGGATTTGAACAAGTCGGAAATCTGCTTTACCCGGGAAATTCACGAGTTAAATGGCATTTTAAATTTAATAATAATTCTGCAATTAAGTTTGAAAACGTGGTGGCAGAATACACTAACTTAACATTACAGAACTTAACAACTTAATAAAATCTACAAACTTTACAAATAAACGTGAACATTTCACCGTGCACCGTCATAGCACTCCACTTCACTGCACTGCGAAACACCGCTGTAATGTCTTTCTTACCCACTCGTTTCCCTCAGTTTCACAACGCCACTGCATTGCACATAAATAATAATAGTAATAATAATAACAATAACAACGATAATAATCATACTTAATTACATAGACGACATAGTTACTTACACTGAATAATATTAAATATATTTATAACACATATCAACATTCAGGAAACTAATTTATTTTTAAATTTGCACAAGCGCTTTGAGGA